CCCCAAAACCCCAAAACCCCAAAACCCCAAAACCCCACAAATTATAATTATAAAATGAAAATTATTTAGCGTAAGTATTAATAAAAAAACTTTTACAAAATGGCTTATTAATTCAGGTATCAATTGAGAAACTAAGCGAGGAAAGTATTGCTGATGCTTTTGATATCAATCCTTATTTTATGTGATAATACATAAGATAAAAAAAAGCTGGAATCTCATATCCTTAGTAACTTGATAATAGCTAGAGATAGGCAGCACAATAGAATCTATCATAAAGTCAGCTATGATAGTTTAGTAAAGTAAGAAAAGAATTAGTACATCAGATGGCAGTAAGAACAAGAAAGAATCAAGCAGGAGATTATTCAGAACGCCAAGAGTAAAAAGAAAGATAAATCTTAAACCACTCAGAAACCTAACGAAATCTTTTTCCCCGAGGATCAAATGAAAAGACAACAGTAAAGTGCAAATATGCCAAAGGCTACTAAAAATGAGATAACACAAACTAAGAAGGCGAGGAAAGATCCTCAAGTTGACCAGGAAATATTGTTTTAACTCTCATAAAATATTACCTAAATGCTCCAAGAGAAACTACATAGCATGACTTAAGAAGATTTGGAATTCTTAATAAAAAGAGGGTATATTGATGAAACTTAGGCATTGATGCTCTTCGAAATATTCTTTAACAAATAGTCAAACAATTCATCAATCACTAACGGAGTTTATACCTTGCAAAATGATTTGATGGTCGGCGGATATGTGCCATTAGTGTATTGCATGCATTTTGGATTCTTGATATTGACATTTGCAATCTCTATGGTACATAAGCATTTCACCTTAAGGGTTCATGTGGCTTTGTTTCTTTTGGTCAAATTAGTAGAAATTATCTACTTCTACTTCTTCGCCTTATATTTGCAAAACTCTGGATGCACATACTTTTCAATAGTAGTTCACATAATCTTTGACCTAACGATTTACAACTTGCTTCTGGACATCCTCTCTTTCTTGTCTTTTTAACAAGAAGAGTTTGAATTCAATTTTAGCACTGGAGGATCTAAAGATAAGCTAAAAAGTAAAATAGTTTTTAATTTCACCTTGCTTTCGATCTCCTATATATCTTGTATCCAGTTTACATCACTCCTTGCAAGCTTTTTCTTGTATTGGTATGCAATCTTCTTGTTTTATAGAATGGTTGCCTACATATTTGAATTAGTCAAAGAACAAGATGCAAGTAAAAAGGAAGATTAGAACAAAAAGACAAAGTGATATAATTTTATTAACATAACTTAATTATTAACTAATTCAAGAAAATTAAACTTAATGAAATAGATTCTCATCTGATTCTATCAGTATTTCCTCTTCATCGTCATTTTAAGTGTCACTAAAGTCAATTGAATGAAGAGCATTGTGAAGTGAACTTAGTGCTTGCTTATAGTCTACATTATTTATAGCTTGAGATTTTTCCTTCTTATTAGCGCTTTTATTTTAGGTTTTAACCTTTTTCGAACTCCTTAGAGGAGACTATCTTGACTTAGTATTTTCTATCTGTTATTTATATATCACATCAGCCACAAGCTATTTATGAAAGAATGATTAAACTCCTTATTTGATATTGAATGGCTTCGCCTTAGTAATACCTCTTTTCCATTTGGAGCCGTTTACTTTATTCAATTCTTTTTACTTAATCTCCTCCAATTCCTTGGCTTTTTCTTGCCTTATTAGAAACTAGCGCACACTTCTTTCCTCAAGTACAGATGATTCTAGCTTGAAATTTTTATCTTTTTGAATATGTTTTACTGCTTTCCTAAACTTTCTGACAGGAGATTGATTTTAACTTAATTAAAGCTTTGGTTTGAAGGAACATTCTATCATTGATTAGTTTTACAATTTTTTCTTTTCCATTACAATTCTTTGTCTCTTGTCCTCTACAAATTTAAGGCCTCTTTCATATAAATTATCTATTGACCTCTCTTCATCTCTCGTTAAATAATTGAATCGCTGAGTATTTCTGCCTTTGATTTTATGAAAGTTTGGTTAAAAGGTGCACTCTTATTTTAATTATCTCTCTTTGATAGTTTTTAAGTTATCTATTTTCTACTACTTTTACTCTATCAGGGTCAAACCTTTGAGATATAAACTATGTTGAAAACTGCTACTACTTTTATTTAAAGTAGATTCATCATGCATAGAATTTTAAGCAATAATATTGGAAACGGGATCAATTTGAGGTTTGAAGGTAAATAAATGATCAACACTGCTCTGATAATTATCCTAATAATCCTTTTGTTTTCTTATGCTTGACTATGTATTTTTCTGATATAAATCTTCAAACCTTTTAGTCTTATCATTTTAATCAAGAATAGTTTTGATGTTCATGTATTTCGTTTTCAATTATTGAATTTTCCTAATTGATTGGGACCTTGCACTCTTCTTGTTTCTCTAATTAGGCTAGCCTTTACGCTTTTCTTTTTATGGAATCTGCCTTATTTGTGGAATCTTACTCTGATTGTAAGATTGCTGTCCATTAAAGTTCAAACTGGTATTTGGTTAAAAACATAATCATACTCATCTTCCCTGTGAATAGAAAATTCAAGTGTATCCATTTCATTCTGCTCACTGTCCTTAATAGCTTCCTCTAAATAAGAATATTGAGTTAAGCTTAAATTTACCCCATTTATCAATCTAGTAATTATCATTGTATACTTCCATTTATGATTTCGACTGCTTCATCTGATCTTAGTTCCATCTAACAGCAAATCAGCATTGTAACTTCAATTTTTACTTACCTTTTTAAGTTTTGCTAGTTTTAATCTAGGAGATAAAACATATCGTTATTCAAATTATTTAAGTTCTTTAATTTTACTATTGGCTCATTACCATTTTAGCTACTGTATTGAGAATTTTAAGCGCTTTCGTTAATGTTCGGTGAGTTATTTGAATTTATTTGCCTTATTCTTGAAGACTTCTCTGAGTTGATATTCTTTGCGCTATTATGATTAATTGTGCTAAATGCATTCAAGTCATCTTTGAGAATGTTCAATCGCACTTAGTCTATTTCTTCCTCATGCATAAGATTATCATATTTGCTATCTTCGTCTAATAGATCTTGAAGTATTTTTCTACATTTCCCTAAAAGATCATAGTCGTCGTTGTCCATATTTTCTGAACCCTAACTTTTATTAAATGTTTTATTTTCCATGTTATAATTATTTTATTATAATATAAATATACAATGTCTTAAAATTAAGCTGAGTAGTAAAAGGTAGAAATAATTTCTGAAGATCCTCTTCTCAACTATAAATCATTCTTCATTATAAAAAACCACGATGATGCGGACATCATTACTTGTCTGGCTATGGGAGAATTGAACATTGTAATTAAGACTTCCAGTAACTTTATAATTAGGCCATAGGAACCAACAAAGGCATGATTTATTAGGTGAACTCTTAGTCAGGAGCATTAGTGAATAAATACTAGGCACATTCTAAAAAGATTACCAGCATATACTTAAAGGAAACTTCTGCAATTATATCATCATCGCATGATGGAATCATTAAAATTACTTCTCTCTGCCCTGAATTTGACACAATGACTCTTGAAATAAAAGAACTAGAATTATCGTGTTATTGCTTAAGAGCTTTAACATTCAATGCGTCTAATATAGAATTTTTCATTGGAACTACTCAAGGAAAACTGTTTTACTTCTACAATGGATGGCTTCAAAATACCAAGGAAGTCATTCACAACAATCAAGAGGAAGGGCCTATCCTTTGTGTCACTTCTTATCAGGATGTTGTTTCTTGGGCAACTCCTAAAAACATCAGAGTAATCCATTATGGCAAAAAGCAAAAGATATGCTTGATAGAAAGACCTAAAAATAGTCATCACTTCCCAGACTACATCTATGAATCAAAAGTAGTTAAGCCAACAATATTCTGGAAAAAAGAAAATGATGCAAGCAAAGTTGATTTGCTCTACATATCTTGGTATAATTTGATAAAGCTCTGTAGATTGAAACTCAAGGAAGACTAAAAATTTTAAATGGAGGTTTTAAAGAGGTAAATAATTGATATTTATTAATGATAACTTTAGCATAGACTTGGATAACATTTTCATTTGCGGTGTTTCTTTGATCAAAGAATTCCTAGTTCTATTCTAATTTACTCTACCTAGAAGAGATAATCTGTAAGCTGAGGCAGAGTAAACTTAGGAAAAAATACCTGAATTATGTATTTACAAAAGTTAGAATGAAGTGTTAATGAAGGACTAGCTGAATGCATTTGATAACATATTCACAGAAATATTTTACTAGCAGGTTTCTAGTGTAAAATGTGATGGTAATTCATTTGTCTACAATCCTGATATGATCATGAAAATTTAGCCTATCACTATTATCGATAGAATAGAATACTTAATTTCTAAGAAAAAGTAATGATATCATAATGCTTAATATGGTTTTAGATTTGAAGAGACTCTTCAATTGATTGAATAGTAGAAGGAGCATATCCCTCCAAGTGAAGTATTGAAATTCTAAAACATTTATCTTGAGCATTTGATGAAAATCAAGGATTATCCTAAAATTGGTGAATATCTTGTATTATTCCTAAGTAAGATTATATAATTCATTAGAATAGCCGATAACAAGGAGAGATGGGAGCATTGGATAAATAGATTAATGCAGAAGAAGATTTTGAGCTATTCAATATAAATTATTCCTAAAGAGTATCCACGACTTGACCTTAAAATTTATACCAAAATTTTTGAGCACCTTCTTGAAATAAAGGACTATCAGAATGTCTAGCAAGCACTCAGAACATTTCCGCCTTATTTGATCAATTAGTATCATTTAATGGAGGTCATTAAAAGGCAGATAGAGCACTCTAAAGAGCTCTCTAACAATAAAGATGTCCTTGAGATTTTGTTTTTACTCTATGACTTGAACAGAGATTATCTTACAGCTTTTCACATTATAGTAAAAATGAAGGACAAAAAGGTGTTTGACTTCTTAAAACGAACTTAACTAGACTTTGACTTGGGAAAGTATCTGTCTAAGTTACTTCTAATTGATTCATCAATGACTGTTGACTTTTTATTCCAAAAGTATGGCAAACAGTAGCAATCATAGATAGTTGACTAATGCGTTTAAATAATTAAGCAAATGGAGAGACAAGATAAAGATAAATTACTGTACTTGTACCTTGATGAAGTGTTTAAGAAGAACTCTGAGCTCTCTAAACTTCATCATGCTTCTTAAATTGAATTATATTGCAGATTTAACCCTGATAAATTAATGCGATTCTTATCAAAGACTGAGGAATATATCCCTTTAGCTGCTGCTGAGATTTGCAAATAATACGACCTGTTTAAAGAACATGCTTACTTGCTGATGAAAACTGGGAACGAGCCAGAAGCTATCAGGGTCCTAATAGATAAATGTCACAAAGTAAGTGAAATAATAGAGCTATCTGTTAGATTTAACATAAATGTCGATAACATGTGGGACTAAGTTCTACTCAAATCTCTCCACAAAACTGATCAAATTAACTCTCTTCTTCATTACGTAGATCAGTATTCTAAGCCGGCCACTATTCTTTCACTGTATGATGAAAATGTCAAAGTTGGCCAAGTTAGAGATAGTCTTATCATTGCATTTAGAAAGATGAGGTTGTATAAGTTTTTGTTGAGATCAGCGCTTCATATTTGTTAAAAGTCCAAATAAGAACTAATAATGTTCTAAGTTGACTCTGGCAAAAGAGGATACTATGACATTGATAATGAATGTGACTAGTGCAAAAAAAGCTTGTTAACTTAGAAAATATTAAATGAATGCGTTGAAATAACCCAAAAGAAAGAAACTTAATTCTTAGATCTCTTCCAGCAGTTCACTAATTCTCTCATTAACTCGAATAGCCAAGAACTTCCTCCTTAGCAGCAATAATACAATTAAGAACCTCACTAAAATCTCTTAAAAGCATTTATGATTTTCAGGTGTGGCCACAAATATCACAAGAAATGTATGGTAGCAAAGAATAACCTAGATAATGAGGAATAAAAAGAGAGTAAACTTTAGCTAAGCAAGTAGCCTTTCGATAAAAAAGGATCTAAAAAGTCAGCATCCAATTTAAGAAGTTCAAATAGCAGCAGTAACTCTATGCGCAGGATTACTGGCCAGAATAATAGTTTATATGAATGCATTGTTTGCAGCAAATTTAACTTTTTGATCAATTGAATACAGTATCCTTAAAAATCACAAATATTTTAGCTAAAGGGGTTTTGGGGTTTTGGGG